AATTTTTATAATTACTATTTTTATTAAACTAAGTCTGCTTAAGTTACAGTTGGCAAAGAAAAGTCTCCTTAAATTATAATTCATTGAAATGGTCGATCTCCTATTAACCCTAACTAAACTCTCCCTTTGTTTTCGTTTTTTAACTGTACTTGTCATTTGCATCATAAATTAACAAATAATAGATGATAAATTTATAACTAATGTGTATAACTACATAGAAATTGGAACACGCAAGAAAAATTATTATTCTAAATAAGTCTTACCTGTTATTTGACTAGACTATTTTACCCACGCATGTACATCAATTTTTAGTTAGTATTATCTTGGTAGTTTCATTTCTTGTGCACTAGTTTATCCACAAATTTTGAGAAAATATCTGAAAGTAACCATAAAAACAAAACACTAAAGTACATATGCATTGGCCCATATCTATTTTATCCTTATGACTGAGTCACAAGCGCACGTTGCTCATACGAAAAATTCGAGTTTCTTTCAAGTAATTTTGTTACTTGAGTAAGTGGATAAAAACAAAGGAAAAAAATTAGATAAAAAAATAGTTTTTTTGAGTGCGCGTGTGTTTGTGTGTAAGATGAGAACGCTAGCTGATGATATCAAATTATTTAATATATTACACAAACTTATGATGGAGACCAACTTTCAGATTAAAAAACAATTTTTTTTAAATTTAACTATGAATATATCTTACGTAAGACATGTACGCATGCTTTCCTAACTAACATCGGATTTAGATTAGTCAACTTTTAACGGTCATGTTTTTTATTTACAAATGGTAATTAGTTTTAATGTTCATTGCAATGACAAGTATTATGGTATTCATCATGATGATAAAATCCATACCCTCTAGATATAATTTCAACAGTTCAGACGTAAAATTATCAACCATTGCTTTTTAAATAAGAAATTATTTTTTTAAAAAATAACAATTAAGAGATTATCTTTGTTTTGAACTATGTACACTTTAAAATAATTTTTCAAAATAATAAAAGTAGAAAATAAAACTTAATTTGAACAATCCAAATTAAATCTAGACAGCATACAGTGGGGATAAGTTCTTAGTACTGATGATCACTCCACTTAGCATCAAAACTCATTTCTTAGAAATGCGGTTACTTCGTGCCTTGTTACCGTGGCATGTTATTTTAAATCAGTTGTTCATAGATAAATATTTAAATTAATTAAGTAGAGATCAACTAAATTTTACGAAGTTCCTGTAAAGTTCAAAAAGAGGAAGAGTTATAAAAGATTGAAATGAAGAGTAAAACTTGACAATGATCCATATCTTCAATCCCTCCCCCTCTCCCTCTCTGATTTCTACAAACTAAAAAACATTATTGATAATGGCAGCTTCAATAAGTCTATAGTGTGCTGTTTAATTGTTCCCTTATTTTAAATCTCTATATGTTTAGCATATCGTTCTTATGTTGAAATCAGAATTTCAGGTATTTATTACTAATTCATAGAACAGTTTTTTAGAAGTCATTTCCAAACTGCCACATACACTTTAATTTGTGCTAGTGAAAATAATTCGAGCATTCTTGCAAGTAAGTTTCTAAATTTAAATTTATAGAGTATAAACTATTATTCACACTATATTTTATTGTAAAAAAATGTTTAAAAGACAAAAATTTGTAAACTAACATTATTTACCACGATTCTATTTTTATGTCCATGCACAAACCGACATAAAATGCCATCCTGACCCTTAAAAAGTGATAGTTGCAATTGCGGGATCTCCAACCCTTAATATAGGAGCTAATTAGAGAGTTGATGTTTGTCCTATCTATAAAATCTATTTCACATGTCTATCAATTTTTTTTTCAAATTAATTTTATTGATATTCCTCGAACAATAATCAGTATAGGAGAGGGAGGGAGGAAGAAAATTAAGAAAGATATTGATAGTGTTTTAGAAAAAAATATATTATGTTAACCAATTTAACTAACATCTTTAATCTAGTTAAATTAGTTAATTAATTTTTATATTAAGGATTGAAAGAGTATCATAAATTGCAACACATATATGGTTCTACTTTCTGGGCATATTTATATATAAAAGAGAATGTTTTGTTGCTTATATTTATAAATCACTTTATTAATTTTTTTTACATGAATGTATTATTTTACTTTTCATTTGTTATTGTATAGATTTTCTTTAAAAGTGTACCATTCTTGTCCTTAACATATAAATTATTTATAACACATTTTCGCATATCAAAAAATGTATTAAATTGACAAAAAAATTTTATTATATCCCTATTGAAGTTTTATCTCTCTTTTTATGTTTACAAATCATTCTCATATCTCTCCTGTCTTTTCTCTATTTCCAAATAAGGATAAAATTGAAAAACAAGTATTAAATATGCTTCAAATGAATTATATTTAGAACTAAAACTTCCTCTTAGAAGTGATTTGCATTTAGGACCAAAGTGATATATATTAAATAAGAGACAAAATTATAAAGTTGTTAAGCTTTAAAATAGAGTTAATGAAATTTAATATTTTTCTTAATTAAATAAAACATATTAAAGTGACGTATAAAAGAAAAGTAGTGCATTAATGCATGATTTATCGGAATTAATCTCAACAAGAAAAATAATGGCATCACTTGTGTGCATATATGTATTAAATATCGATCAATTGGGTTATTTTCTTTACAAGTATATAAGAACAATGAATAAAGTAGCCTTCATCATAGTGGACACCATTTTATATATATATTGACAAAATGAAAAAGAAAACAAATCTGACTCAAATAAACATGTCTTGAACTCAACAAACAAGTTCTTGTAAGAAAGTAACCACCTATCATCAGCCACACACACACATATATAATTGTCTCAATTCAGACTCGATGCATTGTTACAAAATGTTCATTCAACGTCAACTTAAATTAATCACATAAATTTGACGAGACATCGGGTCAAGCAAAATTAATCAATTAATTTAATTTCATTATTAATTAATATTATTTCATCTTTTGATGTTTGTCTTATTGATTAATGATCGCATCATGCCAAGTTAGATTCTCATCCACATTCTGTGATCATGCTGTTTTTTTTTTTTTTGGGCGGCGGGAATAGAAATACATCACGTGATTTTTTGTTGGCATTTCAATTTCTTCCTTTTTCCCACGCATCATCATCATCATCATTTTTATTTAAGAATTAAATTGCATTCTATACTCTAAAATATTTTGTCACTACCATAAAATAATTTGGTGTTATCCTATAAGGACTCAGTCACGTATGCACAGGAAATGACCCCTTTAATTTCCAGTTCCTTTCAACTACCAATTTGAATTTAAATTTAAATTGTTCCCTAAATGTTCATAAGTTTGATAAGACCGCGTTGTTTATATGTTGCAACTTGTGAAGATAGAAAATGATTTTTATATTTTTAATTAAAACGAAATTAACTTTTTTTCCGAAAAAATCTTCACCAGTAAATCATATAGTTCTCATATGCTTACAATAATAAGGAGTATCCTATTATTTTCAAATTGACCTCGTAATTTACGTCAATAAAAATCAAAAGTCAATGTAGAATATGCCATATTTCTCTGCACATTTTATACACACACTCTCTCTCATATCACCTCTCAAAACAATCCTTAAATTTTTGGACCGAAATAAAACAATCCATAAATTGAAAAATTATGTTTTTGGCCTTGAAAATAGGTCATATGCAATCACATGACCGTCAGTGCTAAACTTTTAAATCAAACTTTTCTTTACATAAAATGAAAAAGGGAAAAAAAAAAAAAGGATCATACAACAGTAATAACCTATACGTGAGAGTCAGTGCCATGTGTTGATTAACGCGGATTGACTATATAGTACAATTTAAAAATGAGAACGAGAAAGAAAGGTTAAGTTAGGGTTAGTGGTAGATGGACCACATCAATTATGCATTGGGAATATTACCTTTCTTTCATCCACTTGGTTTGAAAAAAAAAATGAATTATAAAAAAAAATACACAATAGTTAACAAGTCGAATATTCTTTCAAATTGATTTAAATTTGACAATTATTATATACCTACACATTGACTACTTGTTCCGGTTATTTATAAGTTAGTGTTAGAGGTTAGGGGGTTTGCGTTGATCTTAATTACCACTTCAATACTTAATATAAAATCCAGTTAATTAACTTGGGGAGATTAAGAAAACTAATTAATAAATTATTTTAAAGTATTTATATTTATTGTTTTTCAACTAAATTGCTTGACTTATAAACTAATATATTATAATGATACACATAAGTATCTTAAAGATATCATATAATATGTGCTATAATTAAGTAATTTATTTAGCTTCTTTAATCTTTTTAAAATAGTCAATTAGGTCTTTTTTTTAAGGACTAGAGATATTAAATGTAAGACATTATGTTACGAGTATCACATCAAAAACCTTACGAGTTGGACGAGGTTTATAACTCAAGGGCTCTCCCTCCTAGCTAATATGCCATTTTTTTGTGTGATTGGACTCTCCTTTTGAGCTTGGATTCATAAAAGATGTGCTTTTATTGAGGGCTTGATGTTTATGTTCTAATAAGCTAGTTTTTAAGGATTAGACTCTTCCTTGAGACTTATACTTGTAATACCTTAATCCACTTTTTCTGTTGAATTTACAATTTTCTTTCCGAACTCTCCCCATTAATTGCATATATATTAAGGGGATTTCAATGCAAGTGATTAAGAGAACTATTTTAGAGAAACCAACGCACATTTCTTATAGGTAGCTAATTTAACTATTTTTTTAATCCATATAAATTAGTTATCTAACTTTTACATCTATTTAGAACCAAAGACAATAAACTAATCATGTTATTCATAATTAACAACTCACCACCGCGCTTTCCTCTTCGGTGAGTCCGTTGTGCCTCTAAGGCTCTACTAATATAAATAAACGTCCATTCCAAAGGGAGAGATCAGAGATCTCACACAACAAACAAATTAAAGACGTTATTGATAATAGCCAAGATGCAAATTTGCAGCTCCAAGAACATATTGTGCTGTTTAATCACTTGTTCACTAATTCTAAATCTCTTGCTGTTAGTTAATGTGTCCCTGAGAAGCAGATCATGGGAGAACAGTTGGACGAGAGATGCAATGGAGGAAGCCGAAGCAGTAGCGTCGATCCATTGTTCGGGCAATGGAAGGGCTTTCTTGGATGGTGTTATTAGTGCTGATCATGGCAGGCCTGTTTGTGAATGCAATGCATGCTATGGTGGATCTGACTGCACTCAACTCTTGCCTGATTGCCAAGTTGATGCAGATAGGTACTGCGTGAACTTATGGAATTATTGAACTACTCCTCCGGTCCTTATTATAAGACCCAATTTGACTTTTTATTTGGTCCTAATTATAAGACCCAATCCATTTTGTCTCTTATATTTATGCATTTTTTCCAAGATAATCCTTCTAATAATGATAGTTTTAGCCAATATACTTAATTAGCAAGGATATTTTAGGAATGATAACACTTATTTATTATAAATAACGAATTTAACTTACTTCCTTAATCTCCTCAAATAAGTCAATTGGGTCTTATAATTAGGACCGGAGGAGTATTTCATTAACTGTTAGAGGAACTATGTGCATAGGGTTTAGCACGTGAAAATTGCAGATAACTGTTTAGAGCTATATGCTGAGCATATTCTATATCTGGGTAGCTGTGGTGGAGGAAGGGAACCATATAGCATGATCCATCAAGTTTTCAACTTTTTCTTTGTATCATATACGTGGTGTTAAAACCTAACTTGAATCCGTGAACCGGTGAACCAATGATCCTTTAGCCAATCTAGTCAAGAGTTTTGGAAGGGTTGATTGGTTTACATTTTCTACATTTTTTCTCCTTGCTGAGCCGAAGAAGACATCCTTTTGAGTTTAAAAAAAGGGGTCAAGTTTATCATCCAACACCTTGAAGCTTTTCTTTTTGAAGGGTGTTTTTCAATAGCAACATGATTTTTCCCCTAAAGTAATTTTTAGAAGCAATTCTAATATCGCCATTAGCTCTTTAAAATCATCCAGCACCCTAAAGGTAACTTTTCAGTAGCACTCAACACCTACAGTAATTTTTCGGTGCAATTTTATCCTTAAAGTATTTATTGAGTCAATTTTTCATCACTATTTTTTTTTTTTCATATTTCTAGTATTTATCTCCTGTATCTTACATACCTACCTTTAAAATCTTCAATAATCACCGGTTTTTTCAAATTTTCCAGTAGTCTTCTTAAATATTTTCTAGACTTGTATCTTTCATGCTAGTACTAATGATTCACTCTTTTTGTTGTAACAGTGGGGACCCAACATTTTTGGAGCCATTTTGGGTGAAGAATGCAGGTAGCAGTGCAGTAGTGATATCAGGATGGCATCGGATGAGCTATGAATTCAGTGATGGCTCTCTGATCTCAGAAGAGTTGAAGAAACACATAGAAACAGTTCATGCCATAACTGGGAATGCCATAACACAGGGAAAGCACATCATATTTGGTCCTGGAGCTACATTTCTTCTTCACGCGGCAGTACATTCACTTTCCCATCAACATTCTGCCTCAGCCTCACTTTCAAATGTTGTCGCCTCCATCCCATATTATCCAGTAAATGCACAAAACCCTAGCCTATAGTACACTTCTCCTTCTTCTTTCTTTCTTTCATCTAATGAATGGCTTACTCCTTGAATTAAGTGACTTTCATAGTAATTGGGAAAGGAATGTTTTTTACTATAATGTGTCCAAACATTCTTATTATAGTAAAAACCCTATCTATAATAATCTGTTAAAAAAAAAAAAGAGCAAAAATGCATCTTTAATCCTTTCGCTTCATACAAGATTTCATTTCTATCTCTTAATTCTGTAAAATGTCTTTTTAGTCCTTTAACCTTAGCATCATTAGTTTTATTAACAAAAAGATGCTGACATTGAAATTTTAAATTAGCAAAAGATTTTTACAACTGCTGACATATTAATATTATTTTCTTTTTAAAATAATAGTGATGATTGACCAAAAAAGCCATCATTTGGAACCAATAATAATAGGGTTAGATTATTGAAAATATATTTTATAAAATTATTAAGGGATCAAATTGAAACCGTATATAATGTTAGAGGAGCAAAGGTGCACTTTTTTCAAGAGAAAAAAATAAAATTAAAAGGTTGAGCTACTAGTAATAATAGTGGTTTGCATATAATAAGTAGATCCTATTGCTATTAGTAATTATGGTAGGTTTAAGTGCAAGATCTGTTTGGTCGATATATCCTTTATGTATGACTGAGTCCAAGGAATATGAAGTTAATCCAATTAGCTTTCATCAGGTTTATAAGGAGCAGACTGAGTTTTTCAAAGCAGAGGATTATAAATTCAGTGGGGATAGTGCAAAGTGGAAGGAAGATAATGATTATTTGAAAACATCATCGAACATAATTGAATTAGTGACTTCCCCAAACAACCCAGATGGGAGATTGAGGAAGGCTGTTCTTGAAGGGCCTTCAGTGAAGAAAGTTCATGATCTTGCCTATTATTGGCCTCACTTCACACCTATACCAGAACCTGCAGATGAGGATCTTATGATCTTTACTTTGTCTAAGCTCACTGGCCATGCTGGAAGCAGATTTGGGTAAGCTACAAATTGAATTAAGTTCAATTTTCCGGAGGTTAGAGGCAATTTTGCTGTTGTAGCTTTTCCTTTCTTGGCTCTTCATCGAGCCAGTCATTAAAATTTTATCAATTATAGATGTTGGTTCATCTACTAATAATTTATTAAGTTGTAAAGGAAACAATGTTTGTAACTGATGATAAACACGGCTCAAACTCAACATAGTACATCTTGATTAATTTTGCCATATGAATATAAATAAAATCAAAATCAACAAAATTATATATTATAAATAGATGCAAGGAGCAGTTATCTGCATATAATTTTTTTTTATTTTTATGTTGATAATAAATAAATTTCATTATATCATTTTATTTTAAAAACCTCTTTTTATTTCATATTTTAATTTAAGGAAACTTATGCATGTCACTTAGTCGACATCCACATCATCTCTAAGTAGCATATGTTATGAGCATAGAGACTAATGCCGCCTAGCTATAACTAAGGAAATCATAGGACCTAATAAAGTAAAGAAAAGAAAAACTATAGGAACCTAATTGAAAACTAAGTAAAATTAAAAAGACTGACAAATTAATTTTTCCTAAAAAATTTTTCACAAAAAACATGGACAAAAGACTTTGTCAAATTAATATAATATTCTATACAAACGCTACATGTGATTGATCAGGTGGGCAATAGTGAAGGATGAGGCTGTTTACAGAAAAATGTTGACATACATTGAGTTGACTGCCTTTGGAGTATCAAGAGAGACTCAATTAAGAGTCCTAAAGCTTTTAAAAGTGCTTCTTCATAATGGAAATGGAAAGGAAATGAGTGAGTTTGGACACAACATCATGAGAAGCAGATGGATGAAACTCAGCCAAACAATGTCTCAATCAACACGATTTTCCATTCAGCAACTTGAACCTCAATATTGTTCATTTTTCCACCAACTCAGGACTCCATATCCAGGTACCCCAATATATATCTCTTGCTAATTACCGCACTGCTCCTTTCTCTTGGGCTCTATTATGACTATTTTTTTGAGATTAAAGAAATTAATTAAATGTGGATTTTCAAGCTTAAATCATATGAATGAACAGTCAAATGGACGAAATGAGGTTGGGGGCAGAGGCATGAACAAAATGTTAATATGATCCATTTGTTGGTCCTTCTTGATGTTTGGCATGCATATTAGATTCAAATTTTAAAAAAAATAGGAAACAAATATTTTTAGTATCCTTGAATAAGGCGGATTTTCTTAGTATGAAGTTTGAATTTTATATTTGATTACTACTATTAATTGATTTTTTAAGTTATACGAGGTGAAAAGTGTTGCTATACACTGTAAATTTTATATGAGGTTTGCTATGCATAGATTTCTTTTCTAAATTTGACAATAAATGAAATTCAATACTATTAATATCACATTAATAAAATAGAAATAAATAAATATAGATTATTTTAATGTTATACATAATTTTGTTAATTCGTGCAGCTTTTGCGTGGGTGAAATGTGAAAGGGAAGAAGATAGAGACTGCTATCAAGTTCTTAAGAATCTCAACATTACTGGACGCGCCGGCAGCCTGTTTGGCACGGAAAACCGTTATGTTCGTTTAAGCTTAGTGAAGAGCCAACATGATTTCGATTTATTATTGCGACAACTCAACAAAATAGTTTCTGAGGAACGTGATGACGTCACAGTCATGCCTTCAATCTCTTCGGCTGTTAGAGAAAACACATGAACAAAAACCAAATAAGTGTAATTAATTAGCAAAATAAATAAAATAATTCCATGAGTTTGAGTCGGTCAAATAATCACTATATGTGTGTGTGTGCGTGCGCCAAGGTGACATCCATCGCAATGTAAAGAAAAATCATATGCAATAATGACTAAACAATAGTTACTGAGTTGTTGTCATCTTGGTCGAACGATTTTCTTGGTTTTTCAATTAATCTTGAATAACCTAAAACTTTCAAGATAGACGGTGGTTCTAGATCTCTCTGATGTAGACATATAAGTGATCAACGTATGAATAACACTTTCTAAATCACTCAAGTAACCTATAATAAAAAGCAGGTTATGTGGTTCAATGCTTATTCCTGAGTAAGGTCTCAATTTCAAATCTGGTGTACCAAAAAAAAAAATTGATGCTAGGAGAATTATACTACCTCCAATCCTAATTATAAGAGCTAGTTGACTAATTTGAGGAGATTAAGGAAATAAGTTAAGTTAGTTATTTGTAATAGATATGTATTGTCTTTTCTAAAATATCCTTACTAATCAAGTGTATTGGCTAGAACTACCATTATTAGAGGAACCACCTTCGAAAAAAATGCATAAATATGAGAGACAAAATGGATTGGAGTCTTATAATTAGGACCAAAATAAAAATCAAATAAGATCTTATATTAAGGACCAGAAGTAATATATCAATATGGTCCCTACTTTAAAATTTATTAGTTAGGGTCTAAGGTAAATTTCTAACCATAAAAAATAATACTCCAACCGGTTATTATAAGAAGCATCTCCAGCATGCTTCATAATATAACATGTTTTGTTCAATTAATTTTTTTCCACCTAACATCCTTAACTAATTAACCAAATTCCTTAAACTAATGGCTTACAAAATAACTAATTTTAACGAAGTTCATTAATTTATATAAAGTTGTTATAGGTTGCTTAAAATAGGAGTCCGAGGGATTAGATACAATGATGAGTCTCACCTCTAGCCACCATTTTCTCTATCTTTTCAAATTACGCATAGATTGTACAGTTAAAGAAGATATGTACTGGCCTTGGATATCGGGTGCCTTGTGCGAAAAGAAAAGAAGATATGTACTAAATTTTATGAGAATCACGTTCCCAAAAATGGTGAAATTGTTGGAAAGGCAGTGGCAGAGGGAAGATCCATATTATTTGGTGCTGCTTCTGCTCAACTCTTTAATGCTGCTCTTCATATGCCTTGTCTTCTTCCCACTCTTTCAATGCCCGGTTAGTTTTAGCACTAGTTCAATCTTATCCTAGCGTTGGCCCCGTACATTACAAGTTTACAGGCTAGTATAATTAATATGACATGAAGTAGGTTATTCTTTTTACATGACTATTTAAACGAGTTTGATTCGAACATTGTCAAGTCTTAGAAGTTGGTGTTTCGTGTATTCATACGGACATGAAATTTGTTACTGTTTGATCTTGCCTCACGACTTTGGACCCCATGGCCCAATAGGTCTATTACTTCCCAATCAATTGGCCTGACCCATAGACAACTCAACTGGTCTATTATTATTATTCGTTTGGATAAGCTTAAAAAGCACTTTTGCCCTGTAAGAAGGGTACAAAATGAACTTTACCTTGTAAAACAATTATTTTAAGAGGTACCAGAGATGAAGTAAATATAACTTAAAGGCTACATTACTACAGTCCTCAGTAATACTAAAATATCTCTCCGTGCTGGTTAGTGGGATGGGGTGAAATGTAAATATAAGTAAAAAATTCAACGTGACTTGAAAATAAAATAAAAAATAAAAAGATAAATTTCCTACGAAAACTTGCTCATGTCACGGTGTCTCTAAAATGTTTTGGACATTATTACAGAAGTATCAACCCCAACGCAAAGAAGATGGAAAAGAAGAGAAATTGATTGGTTCTTCCCTGCCTCTATATCCTCCTCTTTCTTCTATGGCTCTCCAAATTAACTTAAATGTACAACTAGAATCAAAGGATTCTCATCTCAAGATTTATCTCATAATAATGGGAAAATAAACTAGCCAAGAGTCTGTAATGAAGTCTAGTATTTTGGAACAAATTAGAGATGGCAAATTGCTTATTTGGATTCAATTACAAAAGAATCATTCTTACACTAAGGAATGCAGTAGTTTTAACTAACATTACCTGTCAGACACTTTATATGACAAGGCAGCTTCATTTCTTCGCGTCTCTTAGTATACAGAGAAATTGGTACAAATGAATCATCTATAGCCTCCAATCAAACAGCAATTCGTTTGCTTCCCATTGAGTTGCCTCTAATTCTTCTTTGAACAAAACAAAGAAATCCTAAAATAAGGATCAACACAAGATAGACTTCCAAGTGAGCACCCCAAAGGAACTCAACAAAATCAAGTTTGCATTTATTGCTGCAGTTGCAATCGTATATGTTTTGTAGAACAGCCCCTTTGACTGCAACTTCTGGATCAAGAATAAAATCCACTGTCGCAGGTCCTTCATCTAACCAAATAGATGTATTCTTTGATTTGTAGCCAGGCATGGAGGCCATAACTGCAGTTAAGATCGAGAAATTAGAAAGCAATAAACTCGAATGAAATTCTACCAGAATGGAATGGAATATAGTTGCCCAAATATTTGATGAAAACTAGACATTATGCATGAATACAACACTTAAACTGAGCCTCGTGTAATTTATCTTCCCTTAGCCCTCAATTTGATATGAAATAAATGTCTCTCATTCTCTTATTGAACGTGAAAGAGATTAAAAGAAAAACAGTTGACAGTTTGGTAATTGGTTTGTGTTAGTCGAAGTTACAGGTCAATTAACCCGACACAATTTAAGACTGACCCATTAGCTCACTAGACCAAGGGCAAAACCCCTTTGACATTTTCCTTTGTGGCCCTACCATCATTAGCCTCTCACCCCCTTTGTCTGTGTCCATGGTTGTTTTTCTATCCCTCATTGTTGTTTTGTTGATCCCTCACTGTCGTTCACCCACTTCAACGCATCCCTGTCAAAGCTTGGAACATCTCTATCAATGTTTTGCTGTTTTAACGTTTTCCATTCTCCATTCCCAAAGTTACACCAGCAAAGTTGGCGTACTGGCTTTCCACCCTCATACCTCACAATAATAAAGCTGGTAGAATGTTGGTTTTCCACTCCATACCCAAGGAAGCTGTCGAAGTTTGTCTTTACTAATAATTAGCCTACGCTCAATATGTGAGACCCAATCCCAACACATCCCAATTCTCTCTGGGATAAAATGAGTCTAGTTCAGACTAACAATGTGCCTTGCATTGCGATCAAATCAATTTTTCAGGTCCAGCCTTAGCTTGGCCTGGATTGGTCCATGCACCGTCTGTTTATTTGTTTAAACCTACTGAATTTCCTAAATCCCTTCATATATTATTGCTTGCTTACTAGAAGATTACCAAAGGAGATAACAGGATGCAGTTAGAATGGCAGAGCAGGACTTCAATTAATACGACGAATAAAATTAATATAATGTAAACACTATTAATTACATAATCCCATAAATAGAACAAAAAGAAGCCCTCTGAAATGGCAAAAAATACAAACATTCTATGTACCAAGGAGTACAACTATACGAATGTTGAGACAAGTCTTGGACTAAGAAATTAGTTTAGACTTTTTTCTTCATGACCCAAACAGGGTACTTATTTTAGTGCCCCCAGATATAAGGGCATAAATGTCAATTAAATCATTAAAGCCCTGGCATAAGTAGACGTTCAGGATCATCTTATGCGGAAGAGCTTTTTTAACAAACACAATTGCATTCTTCTAATTCTCTCAACCATTTCACTTCCCTATTTCTGAACACTGTATAATCGAAATTTGACTATTTCTAGCCTCCATCCAGAAATATAATCATTTTCTTTCTTGCGAATCATGCATTCTGAATTGACATAAATAAGATTTATTTCTCATTTGCAGTTTAGTTCGCTGTAAGAGAATAAGTTCAAGGCTACACCCTAAAATATTAATTTATTATATTGTATTCAATATAATATTCAGCCAAACGAACAGCCAATTGTCTTATTGTTTAACTTCCATAGTAGACCCTACCAATAAATTGAAATTTGATTCAAACAACTTATGACCCCACCTAGACAGCTTCAATCACACTAAAATACATCATATCTCAGGAATGTCAATAAATATTTTGTCAAGCATTATTTTAACCAAAATACTTCAAAATTCAACAAAATACCTTCATATCTTTCTCTAGGAACAAGTAACCGATGGTAGTTGCCAAAACGTTTTCCAGCTCTGACCTGTTAGTTACGAATCAGCAGACCCAAAACATATCAAATCAAGCAAGGTCTGTGAAGTCACGTGAAAATGTGAAATATGGAGATAGTATCTTGCAAGTGTTTATCCAAGCAGAGGACGTCTGGACCATAAGCTAATCAAAACAAATATGTGCAAGAAATGCACTTCCAAACATGAGGCTGACTGTCATAACTTCAAGGGAAAACATGCATCCATGAGTTTAAAAAACAATTAACCAAAAGTTCAAACATACTGTGTAATTGATTCCCTTGATTGTTACAGACCCGGGCAATGGCCTTCCATCAACTGAAGAAAAAATTCTTCCATGCACCCCTGTCTACAGAGCAGAAGATAATTAACTAATTAAATGAATCGTCTGAGACCAACAGCATATAAAGTATACAAATTACAAGATTATCCAACTATCAACAAATCAAGAAATTATTTGACGCTATGTCCGGCCCTCACCTAATGGTTTAAACTATTTGGATGTGTGATTCTTTAAAGTAGTACTCGAGGATCCTTGAACAAGTTATCAAAAATCCAATTCCCTGTATTACATTCTTCTAAACATTGTTTCTAATATCCGAGCTTTTCCTGGTTCCAATCCAAGGGATTCTAATACGAAGAGGTGCACCATAACTATAAATGAACTTTTACATTTTTCCTTCAACTTCTAGATAAAGGGACCCTAAAAGATCTACGGCACAATAAAAAGACTGACAAATATTCTCCATTTCCAGCTTGTAGCCCAATATGGTTTCAAACGTGAGCATACTTTGGCTTATTTCCAACCAGATTATTTCACAAGCTTTCTTTTACATCTGTGCAAACTGAAGGGGAAAGAGTGATAAGTTGGAAGCAAACACAAGCGTTGTTAAAGGCTATTAAGTAATTAGCACACATTCAGGAACAATTACTTGGGAAGTACTTTGGTGTACTCAAGTCCCTTCTAAAGTTTCTGATCTCTTAATTGCATAATCCCTTGATTTTACTGATTTTATTGTGGTTGATCTCACTTATCTCATCAAAAGAGGCTTATCAGTCATGATGATATCGTCCATGAAGCAAGGGGGAATGACTTGGGCCCCAAAAGATCATTACAATTGAGTCTCACAATATTTTTGAAAAATGCGTTGAAATACCAATTCAAACAATTGCAAATATGGGAATTTCAGTTGCAAACAAGTCATTTAAGTCTCGTAAGTGACTCCCAGTGATTTACAACTGAAACTCCCATATGAGCAATTGTTTGAATTGATATTCGTGATTTACCTTTCAGCAGGATTTTTTGGGACCTGACTGTAACTAAGTAAAATTTTTGGGACCTAGCTGTCATTTTCTCAAAAAAAAAAACAATACACCAATAGTTACTGCATTGAGGCATGTCAAGGGATTCACAGAAACTGATGTTTACCTTTGCACTCTTCATCAAACATGCCTAAACTGAAATGATCTTTGGGATTTCCTATTGGTATGGAATATGTTGGAATGGCATATCCATTGGTCAATGGTATGTGATATATCTAAAGAGTTGATTGTGACCAAAGTATAATGTCATCATGCAACGCATGCAGCTGACCCTTTTTTCATTTTGTGATGAAAATGCAGCTGACCTTATTTCATAAGATTTCTTGTTGTATTTCCATATTGGAATGGGCAGAGCCATAGGCCCATGTTACATTGTTATTCTTTTGTTTATTTTTTCAAATTTTTCTCAGCTCTGGTTTACTCTACTAAAGAGTTTGGCTGCTTACATTGGAATCAAAATTAGGAATTCTTTCACTTGATTAGTTACATGATTTAGGGCAGAATAGTCAACCTGTGAATAACAGTATCCTAAAAGGCTTCCGTACTATTTTTTTGATAAATGAATTGAAATATTGAATCTTATTCTGGGAAAATTTCTCAGAATATGTACTAAGCTAGGTGTAATTGGCTTTGCTGCAAATTTCCTTGTGTTTGGAGTGGATGCTCAAACACGATAGCCATATTTCTAACTATAAGATGAGATTTTTAGTTCCTTTGAGGAGAATCGTCGTGCAATTATTGTTTCATTCTGACGGATAGTGGTAGAGAGAAAGAGGTGAAAAGAGAGAGAAGGGAAGAAGGAAGAGGGAAGAGAAAGGCAGAGAGAGAATGAAAGAGATAGCTGAATAGTGCACTGAATATTACTCACAAAAACATAGCTTCTGATAGAAAGTCAACTACCTTGTAACTACATAACTACCTTAACTACCTTATACATGTTATTCACAAATGATACATCACACTCCATGCACTAAGTCCTTTGTTGCTCAGGGATGGTTCTTGGAAGTTTTACATGGTTCAATTTCATATTGCAATTTTCTGTTATTCTGTTTCTTGGTTTGCACATTTACATGTTATCATTCTGGATCTTCCCTGAGCAGAAAGGTGAGTTCTCTTTAATGGAATGGATTATAATGATCGATAATAAAAGATCAAAAATTACTTTTCAGGAACTATTCAAGGGTCTTCTTTAAGATTCATAATAAAAGCAAATGAAAATGACATGGAACTAGAATATTAATTTCTATGTTTTGGGGTAAAGAGGTATCAACAGAAATAGCTTACCTTCACAAGACTTGCAACAAGATTAAGCATGCTCATTTTGTTGTACTTCCAGATAACAGGAAGCTGAAAATTAAACAACAAAAAGGTAATAACTCCTACAAAAAATCACCAATAACATGTAGATTATTTGCCCCAGTATCTCAAGTCACTTTACTTCTGGCCAAGAGGAAGCATGAAAATGAAATAATATAAATGAAGATGATGATCGAAATTTAGTTTGAATTGAAAATTGCAGTTTTAGTTTGTGTTATGCTTTTATTGATAACTTGTTATTGACATCTATTTTAAGTTTGAAATACTTGCTTAAAACTCATCTTTTTTTATGTTGTTCATTTTTGTCCTAATTGTTGAATACATACACACATACACACATCCCTTTTTTTTTTTTTTTTTTAATTAAGTGAACATGCACACATCCTAAAACTTCAAAAATTGTTGTCGTATCACAAATATCATATTGTGTCCTACATGATACATGTATTCATATCAGTAAGTCCTTTTTTTCGGCCAATCTCTTATCAATGCTTCCTAGATGCAAATGATTTTTTGGCTAATTTTTTGAGGCTACTAGCCTACTTCCTCTTTATATTAAAGCTTCTTTTTTTGAAGAAATTTCATAGTAAAATTCTTCAAAAACCATCCAATCCCATAGCAGCTCAATGGATATGAAAGTGACAAGAAAATACAGGGGTGGCACCAGAAGAGAAAAGCATTACACTATAAAACTATCGTAAGTGTTATTCATATTAAGTAACAATTTCTTCAGATGTAATAATTCCATAAATTGAACTTAAATGAAGTTTTAGATTTCCAAAGGGGTTTTGCAAATAGTAAATGATAGCATTAGTTGGAGATGTACCAACAGCTCAGCATGTTTTATGAACTATGTTTAGCCCATGGAAGGGTCCTCACTTTCGCTGACATAGGTACATTTTTTTTATATTAGCCTATGGATGGATCTAGGGGAATATTGGGCCTGAGACGTTAGCCCAATATTATTGTAGAAAGAAAAGGACAAATAAGAGAGATGAGTTGGCATAAAAAGGAGAAACCAGACTAAAGAATTCTCACATATACTGGTGGTGTGGGTATGTGTGGGGAGTATGGAAAAACTGAGAAGAGACCGGCCGCGCAGGGTGAGGCCCGAGAGGTTTCATTGTGTCTCTTGTTTTCCTTTGCTCTATTGTACAGTGAGTGGGCTGCTAAGCTGTGTATGCTGGTTCTAGTATTTAACTCTCCCACCGAGATTGAAGGCTAATTAGTGATTTTGCTTCTGCTTAATATTATCACAGCTTATATTAATATATTTAGGTCAGATTTCCATCACATATACTTTTAAATTTTAAGAGCACTAAAAGGAAAAGTCTGAATTCACCTCAGCTGCCTTAGGCCATTTGTTGTCGCTAACTTCCAAGGTCAATTCAAAACAGCCAGCATGGATATAGTTCCAGTCTTGCATGCCTCCATATATGGGGTACCTGCAGTTAGTGTCTTCTGTAATAATCGATGAACTAGGAAAACAATGAAGTGAATCAATAATGAATTTCAAGCATTATTTCAGATTCCATACCAAGCTGCCCCATTTGTGATTCCCTCTGGAAATTCTGTGCTTGCAGACATGTTGTAGTGAGAATGACTATATATGCTTGCCATGAATCGAAATGTATCATCATCTGGACATCCATAATAATTTGTCCTGTATTTATGTGTTTAAAAAGTAAAACTCAATATGAGATGGGTAGATTAGAAGGAGCCCCATCAAACATCCCTGCAAAAACATATACTGCAAAGAGTCCCCATTTGTTTCACAATGCCCTACAACCACTTCCAATTTTGAGCAGGCTATTGGCATTTTACACATTATTGGATATGCACCCCCAGCTCAGAGTTTCTTTTCACAAACATCATGGACTTTAGTAAGGCTAAGGAGGGAAAGGATTTCTAGCAGTGTGTTGTCTATGTTATTCTCTATATTATGGGCAGGAGCAAATTGGTCGTCTTTAATATTTTCTCAAATAGACTTGTTTTCAGAAGCATTGCATGGGATATAAGAAATGAATCAAACTGTTCATGGATTGTGAATAATGAGACTTGTTATAGATTTTAATATTCAATAATACACATCCATCTTGGAGCTGTTACGTGATATTACTGTTTTTAAGGCCCCTCCTAGTAGTCTGACAACTCTGACCCCACCGTTTTTAAGGGCTCTCTTGCTGTTAGCCCCATGTTTTCTATTAAGGAGTCTTCCAAACAAATATGTAGCACTGTCAAAATAGACCTAGACAGGCCAGAAAAGCGCATTTTTAAATAGACCAACAATCCTTCCCTAACTCATGCTGGTTTGCAGTTAAACCAATAAGATCAGTTGTATTTTGTGCACTAAACAGACCACAAATCAACGAAAGTTCATCACATTTCCATTCAACAGCAAATCTTTAAAACCACAATCTATAAATATAAAATTTTAATTGATCTCAAATTCACAAATATCTATGCACATCTGCACACAGTCATCCATACGCATTTTTTGCAGAAGTGTAATGTGCATGTGCACAAGTGTGTGTGTGTCCTAATGCATAAAATTCAAAGCAAACAGAACAAGTGCATAATAAAATATCATAAAAAGCTTTTAGGAAAATAAAATTATTTCCCACCTTTTATCTTGGGTGCCATCCCAAGGGTAATTTGCAACAAGTGCACCCTGAGTTTGAAAGAAAAATCTCATCAGTTCATGTCTACTGCATCTAAATACAACATCCATTAAGACAAAGTCTGCAGCAAGTCAGAATCAATATCAAGCCAATGGGAAAATTTACTCAAGCCCATATAAATATAATCCAATTTGTGCATTAAGTTTCTTCTAAAGCAGAAGATAGATAGAGAGAAAGCAAGAATTTCTGAAGTTGAAGATAGCCAGTATTTAACATAATAGATAAAAGGAGTAGCCCAGCATGTTAAGCAAAAAGTTCATGGCAATACAGCACAAAAATAATAAGAAATTGAAGATAAACAATATCTGCATACTGAAAATATATTACCCCATGCAGAGTGGCAGATGCTGTGAATTTTATTTCTCTCAACCAATTCATAATGGCTCTTGCTTCAGGTTGGCGTGCATCTTCATTTTCATTGATGGGAAAGAACTGTAGTTTCAAGCCAAAAGGACATTCCAATTAATAAACAACAGGTCCCATGCAAAATATAGTGATAGCAAAGGGGAAAACCAGCAATTGATTTCAATCCATTAACCCTCAAAAATTCACAGCGGTTCTTACATAGAATTTGCCCACCTAATGATTGAAAATCACGGAATATTAACTAGCAACAGATATTCACATTACAAGTCTAAACTGAAACTTGAAAAAGAAAAAGAATAAGAAAGAATTTTCACCAGAAAACATAATAAAAGCCAGCAGATAATCCATCATTAAATTAACCATAAATTCTATTAACCACGTGATTTTTAACAAAAACAGAAAATGATTGTTTGTTTTAGCATCATATTTAGGAAGCCATTATTCAAGCAATAAATGTAATGCACTCCAAGAACCCATTTTCTTGGGTAACTTCCACTATGTTACCATGATGTTAATACATCATGCTCAACTTGAACGAACGAAGTTGTCCAAAATCGTAGTTACTGAAAGGGGTATTGATTACTTCAATCCCATAGGGTCTTCTTCCAATCGCCTTTCTCATCAATCAATCTCTTAACCTTTAAGCTTGGATGACTACTCACAGGTTAGATATGGACAAATCTAGGTTGAAATAAAATTGAATCATGTAAAGGATGAAATGATTTTAAAATAAAAACCCAAACTCATCCTGATAAAGAACTTGAGACAATCATTTAAAAGGGAAGAAAGGTATAAATAGCAAAATGAAATTTACCTGGTCAGGAAAATCTCTGTTGAGATCAATATCATTTGCATTATTACGTCTTCTCAAACTAAAGCCATCAGGATTCAAAGATGGAAGCATATGAAGGTGAATGTTCTCCACAATCAATGTTGCCTGAAACATTTCAGTGTCAAACATTTCAAGAAGACAGGAAATTATACAAGTTTCAAGAACCCCCTCTCACAGAAGAGTAGGTGAAGTCAGCAAAGACAACAAAATAACAAGCCTATCCCATAGAATATAAAGGTAGGAAACATAAATTAAAAGCACAAGCATAATGCTCTAACCAAATGGATGACACCCCATAGAGGAGCATAGTGTAGCCTATGTTCCTTTCTCTTCCCAAAACAATGACTACCAATTGAATGAAAGTCTTTCTAAGGGGGTGTTTGGATAGAAACCAAACCATGGTTTCAGAAGTACTTTTACGGATTACGAAGTAAATATATGGAGGAGGTTACCTCGTTTTGCGGAAAAGTGCTTCTGAAACCGCGGTTTTGAGAATGCCAAAAGTATTTTAGCAGACTATTGCCAATAAAAGTTAAAAAGATCATATTCCATGACTCAATCTTATCTCTTAATGCAGAAGGGAATTGTTACTGGCTGCCAAACTACATGCATCAGATATTGTCTCAATATAAGATCTTGATAAATATGAGAGTCAAAACCAATTTGCAAGAACAAACGAAAGAATTTGTGCAAGGTAGACATACTAGAGCAAACAAGATAGAAAAAACAACGATATCACAGCCAACATTTTATTTTTAAAAAAATGAAAAAGGCATAAGGACATTAAATACCAGCGGATCTTTTGGATAGTTATCACATAACCAATTTGCCAAAAACATAAGAAGCTCACGACCCACAGGCTCATCTCCATGTACGTTTCCAATATACTGCATCATTAGTAAATCAATCATAGAAATAAAAGATCACCAGAAAATAACATAAAACTATACAAATATGTCTCAATATGCCATCAAACAGACGCATTCAGACTTCAGAGATGGAAATTACAGCTATGTGACCCATGTATGTGTAAAGTCATCTACACTACTTAATTTCCTACGTGTATTGCCTTGCCCTTATGAGTGGAACGTATCATCAAAATTGCAACTGAAGATAAATAAGCCAAAAAGAAGATAAAATATTTTTCAGAAATAAAAATATTTCTATTACAAAAAAATGCAAAAACCAAGAAAATATAAACTAAGGTGACAGGCCTCTGGTGAAATAGAGGCTGTTGCAACTTGCAAATTGGAGATGCACACTTCAACAGTTGTTTCTATAGTAACCTTTGCATGATAATGTATCACTACACGTCTTACACTGACAAAGAGTAAGGTCATACAGGAAGCCTAATTCCCACATTGCACAGCATGGGATGCTCTAAGTAGTATCCAAGTGGGTAGGTTTTCCCGCTTCTAGCTTTCTAGAGTGGGTTCTCCATTCCTCAAGGGTGCATATAAATTGGTATCAAAGCTAAGTTGTTGATAATTTTAAAAAAGGCAACCTCCAAGGTGTTCTAGCTAGTGGAAGGTTAAGCATCAATAAGCAAAGTTTCACAAAGTGTAGTTGTCTAGACATCAACCCTCTAAAGAGATCCAATTGATGGAAAGTAAAGTAGTGCAAGATGCCTAAATCACACCGGGATACTCGTATCAGGTTTTCATGGTTTAGCTCTCTTGTCCCAATAACTGGCTTTCATGGAAATTTCCTATTCCACATTCCACTTGGGTATTAAGCATTCATAAGTAATTTATTATCACTATATTTCTATCATAAGACCTTGTCAGAGTCCTAAATTATGAAAACCAGCAAAATTAGCCTCTAAAACAGTTAAGATTCAAATGATCATACAAGTTAGATTCCTTCATGTATGAAGGAATTTCAGAAAATACTAGTATTTCATATAAGTTAATCTATTAAAAAAACTACTTCAACATGATGATGGATCTTATAAGGGTTACATCTTCAAAAAGACATGATTTGTTGATTTATACTATAGAATTTGCAGGTTCATTTGGAATTGGAGATCATTCGACAAACTACCAGCTCTATAATTAACAAACGTCATAGGAACAACTAATACAAACAGCAAGTACTGTCAATTCTTACAGAACATCTATAGAGTTAATTTAAAGAAGGCAACTTATGAGGTTTGCAACGTAAGTGTGCTCATTCAAATTAGAAATATTTTCAAAAAATACTCATTCTTGGTTGAAAAAATTCATCTTGCCCCCTAGGTTGATTTGTGGGATGCAAATGGTTTCCATGGCCTAACATGCTCATTACAACTGCAGTATCCACACAACTACCATAAAACTTTATTAATTCTATGCAATTGTGTGAGTTCTTTCACTTAAATAATTTAAACCCTTTATCCATAAGTCCAGCCAGGTTCAGAAAACTTACGCATGCACATTACTAAGGTCTTGCAATTAGATGTTAAATTTTCTTCAAAATGTTATAATCTTGATTCCCCGTAACAAGAAAAAGGAAGCCATAGGGCATAGGAAACTTATAAAAATGTTTGCTCTAATTTACATATGGGATATGATTACGTGTCAACAACAACAACAAGCCTTTTCTCACTAGGTGGAGTTGGCTATATAGATGGCACCAAACAATTACTATTACATATGATCATTCTATTTTCTCCTCACTTTCAAAGATCTATAAGGAATGGTGAGATTAAAATGATTAGAAAAGTTGTTCCAAGATTCTATGTCTTCCTGTCAACATGTCATGTCCATACTATAGTAATTCCCTATGTCTCCTTGTTGGATTTTCTTGAACTATGTGTCAATACGTCTTAATATGAATTAAACCAAAAACAATGAAATGGCTGCTTCACTAATGCTGTACAACCACTCACCTTAAATGCAGGTTCAGCCTCTTCTTCGCCAGGGTTGTCAGAAATCTCTATCACCCACTACATGCAACGAATGTGATAAAAATCACTTACTACTAAGATTTTTAAGCGCCACTCACATCTTAAAAGATATTTAAGTCACGAATAAATTGCACATGAAAGGGTGAAAATGAAAAGAACAGGAGGAAAAGGGAAAAAGAAAATTACCAGGGGGACTCCATTCACACTCTTCCCAATACTGATAAAAATCCCTCAAAGAGAGAAACAAATCACAAGTCAGTTTATCCATTGCCAAAATAACATGGGGAAAAAACTTATTGAGATCCGTTTATTCATGAAAGCTACTATTGATATACATCTTGTGGAAGTCATTCGGAGAAAAGTAATTTGGAGATGGATAATCAGTAAAGCACAGATGTGAGGAATCACCTGTATATTCTAGTAATGTTGCTGCACCTTCGTCCCAAATCCTTTATTGCCATCTCAAGGTCAGAATTGGTCATGTACCCGCGAGACGAGTCAAAAGCACTTCGGGAGATGGGAGAAACAGAATTGAAGTTAATGCACAATAGGGGAAAACAACCACCGTGTCATAGCTACTTAAGAAAAGTTCCATAACGATTACCTTGTCTGACTCTGACTTTCATGGTCTTCAAACAAATGCCTTGCATGACTTCCACCACCACTAGTGTTTAAGCCTTATAATATGAAGATATAACAAAATTTTAAAAAATAGATAGATAAATGCGCCAATTTTCTACATATAACTTTACTTCCTCGCGGAACTGATTCATCGTATCAGATTTCCTTGAGAAAGGAATCAGATTTCCCCGGTTCAGTGCTTATTAATAAATTTAGGGCTCCAAGTTCACAATTCTTTATCAATTCAAAACTTCCCTCGAAACCAAGAAGAATAATATAGAAGATGCTGAGATAAAGGTTACTATTCCAAGGAACTGAAGAGACAACGACCTGAATGGAGAGAGCTCCATAAACCACCCCTGGCAATACAATGGTGAGAAAGAGATAAAATTGTAGAACAAAGAAGGAGAAGAGAGAAGAGTAGCTCCATAATCTACGACGACGATGAATTGCAGGCTCAAGCACCTGAAGTATGTTAACGTCCTCTTTGTCCTTTGAAAGAATCGCTTTGTTGATCGCCGGCAACCCGCAGCCGCTTCCGCGCGCACGCAAGGAAATTGCACGTGAGTATAGGCGCAACGTTCTTTTCTTTGGTTTTTTTTTTTTTCCCTGAAAAATTATAATAAGGTCCACTTTAAAAAATTAAATACAAAAAAACTCTTAAAATTATCAAATTAATCTGAAATCCTAAGAGACCTTATTACAAGAGATTCTATTTGTTTAATTATCAAATTATTTTTTTTTTAAATATGTATTAACAACTGAAAATGTAATCAATAACAACTTAAAGTATAACAATTAACAAATATCATGGCAGATATTAACAATTTACGCATTACATATTTGTTATGCGTTGAAAAAATATGTTGTTAATATCTATCGTAATAGTTGTTAATCATTACACCTTAAGTTGTCAACGACTACTCTTTCAATTATCAATGTATAATTAAAAATAAATAAATAAGAGCAATTCGGTAATTAAATAAATAAAATCTCTTACAATAAAATCCCTTAAAACTTCAAACTAACTTAATAATTTTAAGGGACATTTTTGTATTTTAGGTAGAACCTTATTACAATTTTCCCCTTTTTTTTGCCATGAAGTGCCCCTTACCAAACAAATCTTTTTGGAAAAACCTAAGTTAAAAAAAAACTAGATCGGACCAACTAGTTCAAACTAGAAACTAATGAACTGCCCTTGGGTCCGATCTGGTGTAGTGTGTAAACCGCCCTCGATCAACATGTAATAACTTGGGCATAAACTGCTTAAACTGAGAAAAAACTAGGAAACCTACTGGGTTAGGCTGGTCACCGGTTGTTTTCTTACCTTCTTTCACGCCCTTGCCATTCGTCGAAGAAGCTTGTGCTCTGCCTCTACCCACGAAAGATGGGAAGGAAATGAGGAAGATAAGAGGGAGAGAGATGGATGAGGGGTATACGTAGAGAGAAAGTGAGGAAAAAAGAGAAATAAGAAGGGAAAAATGAGGTCTGATGATACGTGTTCAAGGAAGAAATTAATGAGACAATATCAGCTGTGTTCAGTAAAAGAGAAAACAAAAAAAAAACTAATGAGAATGGTTAGTGGTGTTCACGAGCCGGGATGAGACCGGACAGGCCCGTCCTCTCCCTTTTTTAAAAAAATATAATTTTTCATATGAATTTTTTTTATGTTATAATGCTTATTTTTTATTGGGCTTTTAAAGATAAAAACATTATAAAAAATATTATGTAGAAAGCTCAATTATATAGTATAAAAAAGATGTAAAAATAATACTAAAAAAATATAGTAAAAGAAACATCATATAATGGCTTTGTGAATTATTTTATTGAGAAAGGAGATATTGTTAAGATAGCACTACAACTTAAGAGCTAAAAATCACTATAAAAATGATTATTATTATTAATATGTAAATTGAATAATCTAATAATAATTATTAATAAATAAATTTTTTTAAAAAAAAGCCCCGAGACTAGACGGGACTGGACAATCCCATCTCATGTCCCGTCTCGTCTCGAAATTTTTTTTATCCTATCTCATCACGTCCCGAATTCACTAGGACTGGGACGAGATAATCAGGATGGGACAAATTGAACACCCCTAGGAATGATGGAATGGGTGTGCTCTTGTGGGAGAGAGAAAAGAGACAAAACAATTAAAAAAAAGAAAGAAAATTTCATTGGGTCAAAAGGGAAGAAGAAAGGAAAAGAAATGCTTATTAAAAACTATGTATTTTTTATAATTAAAATATGAATATTTTTATACATTTTAATTATATTATATTATTTTAATTACTACCATTTGACTCTAATTGGACTCCGATCTAACCCATTAACCATTTAACCAGTGTCTCATCCGGTTTACTAATCGGTATGATTTTTTGAACTTTGGGAAAAACCCTATAAAAGATACTTAAATAATTCAATTTTTTATTTGGATCATCAAGTATGTTGAATTCTGAATTAAGTCACATGACCTACAACAAGAATTTCAAAATTTTATGAAATGATTCTAATACCATTTTTATTAGAGACCAAAAAAGAAGAACTATAAATTAACATGTTTAATTTCATAGTTAATATGTTTTAATTCTAAATTAATAATTTTCTATCTCCATGACATATTTGCATAAGTTTTTTAATAAAACTTTATAACAATACATCTCTGAAAATAAATAAGTTTAATTACACAATTAACAAGTTTCAGTTTTAAATTAACGGGTTTATGTCTCCAAATCACAATTGTAACAAGTTTTTGAACAAAATTTGATCATAACAGAACCTTGACAATTAATATGTTTCATTTCATAGTTAACACATTTTAATTTTAAATTTTCAGCTTTTTATTCCTATAAGACACTTGCAATAAGTTTTTGAATAAAATTTGATTACAACACAACTTTGAAAATCAGTATATTTCATTTCACATTTAAACTAGTACAGTACCTGTGCAACGCACAGGTGTGAATTAGTATTTTTTCATAGAGTATAAAAAGTTCAATCACTATATAATGATTAGTTAAATTAGTTAAATTTATATATATGTTTCTGTCACCCAAAAAAAAATCATGTATATGCTCAGAATATAAGATTATAAAAAGTTTCTTTATAAGCAATATTGAAGGTTTTTTTTTTTGTGACATTTCTATCATTTAATATCATTATTTGCTCTTAAACGTTCTATATGCTCTTGTAACATGTTTTGCTAATATAATCACAATTAACCGTATGGCATTATAAAGGCCAAGTGACTTCACTTGTAATATTGTTATGTATACATATGATTCAACCACTAAATTTTGATAGAAGACTAAGTATCCACTTTTATATGTATAAATAGTTATTTAATTTTGAGATTTTTTTTCCAATTTGAGATTTAAAATACACTTGTATAATTTAATTTGATAACTACCATCAACAATGTAAATTAGGAATCATTAACCTGTGTTCATTCTTTCTTAGTTATTACTTCTTGTTTTAAATATAAGATCCCATATGTATATTATGATTTTTAGTTTTTTTAATTTAAAATATTTATTCAAGATTTTATTCCGAATCTAAAATGCAAAATAAATATTAAATATTTTAGTTGTAAATATAATAATGAACTTTAAGTATTAAAATATAACAATGCATGTTAGTCTTTTTAAATTCTATTAACTTATTTTTCTCTCTAAATATATTTTATGATAAAAATAATGCTATAATATCTTAAGGGCACTAATATTATTAGCTAATTCCTCGAAAAAAAAATGAAAACCAAATAAGGAATAATTAATTATTAATTATTGTGGAGAAAGCAAAAAAAAAAAAAAGCGTTGGCTGAGTCAAAAGTTATAACATGATATGATCCACAGATCCAGTATCATTCAGTATCTCATAGTTCACCATGAACCTGACAGTAAAATATCAGTATTGTATAAAATAATAAATATTTTTGTATTAAAACTACGACCACCAAAAAGATATATCTCATTAATATTACCTAGGAAAAAATTAATGCTAGCTCGGAATATTGTACACGAAGTTGGCGATGAAGCAATTGATCAATTTGCTCCGTTTTTTGTTCGCTAGTAGTAGGCTAATTTAAATCTATAGGAGTATTTATCATATTAGAGGCAATTTTTTCTTCTTTTTTTTTTTCCACACCGCTGTCACAAACACCTTACCTTAAGTTGGAATTTATTAAATTGTCAGTGGGTGATCATCTTGTCGTGAAAATTAATCATATATAATATAGAAGTCAATCTAGGTCGTCTCTCTCTATGAGGAGCTTTGTTAAAATTTTAAAAACTTTTTTAATTAAAAAAAACATGATGTAGAGAAGGAAGAAGTTGGAAAGAAAATTGATTGACTTTTTTTTTGGAAAATAAATCAAGAAAAATAAAATGGGAATAACAATAATTAAAAGAAAGTAAAAAGAATGAAGACTTTACTAGAATGATGCAGTTCCTAAGGATGTTGATGAGTAGTTATCACGGTTTAAAAGGATAAGGAGTTCGTATAAAAACAATTACTAAGTCAAAAAGAAAAATCTTAGATAACGTCTCAGTCATAATTAATTAATTAATAATTATACCTAGAGAGCTAGCATATAATCATCTTTCAATTAATCATTTAAAAATCACTTAGCTTGTGAATTCAATTAAACTATTATATCTTGTTCCTTGAAGAGAATTATCTATCGAAAAATCCTAGAACATGAACTACTTGTAAAATCCATTAAGATAAACACTCATAGAATTATGCGGAAACTGAAAATGTATTCATTGAAAACTTCAAAACATAATTGTTTAACTAAAACACAAATTTAATAACAATCCATAGAGATAGAAATCCTAACCTAGAAAAATTCATGAAAGCAACATACTTGTGGATTGAAATATAAACACTAACAAACTCCTTAAAATAAACAAGAACTCAAGCCACGTCATCTTATCCTTAGGAACAGAGGACTAGTCACACATATGGCTAGATGGCACCATAATGATAAAAAGAAAATAATAAAAAGAAAAGAGTGAAACAATTAGACACAAGAGGAAGCCAAGTGTAAGCTTGTGCTTGTGTAGTGTAGACAACTTCGTACTTCTCCAAGGCCTCCTTGATCTCTTTTTACAGCTCTTGAATCTGTCCTAGTCAGATGAAGAAACCTTTGAAACTCCTAGCTTGATCTTTCATCTTCTTTCATCTTGTAATCTTGATACAACCTTGAATTTGAATTCTCTTGATTTGGTGATCTTCATGGCAACCAAAGTAAAAAAAGCTTTTGAATTTAAATGATATTAAATAAAAGGATAATATTTCAAATTTGAATAAAGATACGATGATAGGATGAACTAGGGTTAGGGTTTAGAAAGAGGATAAAGATGATATTGTGGATATTTGGAAAATTAAATAGATAATGGATATATGAATAAAATATTTATTCAAAAAATACGATAAAAAAATTATCCACAAAAGAAATTAATTATTCAAGCTCTTTAATTTATGGTGGAAGATAAGAGATATTTTGGCTAGATAT